ACAACTGAAGACTGTATCAATTGAATTTGAATTATTTTCTATTTCCGTTTTATAACATTGGAATAAAAATAAATTGTAAATAATGAGTTTTTCGAAAATTTGTTACCTAATATGTATCATATTTTCTATTATTTTTTTATTGATAAAACAAAAATTTTATCCTTGGTGTGAATTGAACCCCAATTTTCTCGTCAATAGACAACGTCCCTAACCACTACACCAATTTCACATACATTAATTGTTTTCGGACAAAACATACCTACCTTTATGTTAGTCAAATATTTCAGTTGAGTTATTTTTACTATTAAATAAATTGAAAGATTTATAATTTAAAATCGCTACTAATGAATGTTTTTTACTATAATATATCTTAATTTATTCAAGTATTTATTCTAACATCAGAAATTATTAAAATAAAATATTTTTGAGGTTATCCGTATAATTATGACTGAAGTCAAATAGCCACGTCTAACGTCTAAAGGTGTGAGACTTTCGATGGTGGTAATGTAATGTAATGTAAATTATAGGTTTCTATCGATTATTTCCCACCTCTACGAGTTTTATCTCTTTTTATTTCACAAGGTAACTGTGTTTTCTATCTCTTACGTTAAAAAGCCGGATGGTAAAGCACTCATCACTGTATAGTTATATACATTCAGCAAAACTAAATTTTAAATTTGATATACAGCAAACGTCATTTATATTGATGTACAAAAGTGACGTATTTTTGCCTACTCTAACCAGACCCAACCAAACAACGATCGGAAGCTCGATATTTATTCAGTGGCATATCAGTGAGGTGTTATCTGCTATTCAGACGAATTTGTTCCCACCACTTATCTAAAATAGATACTGTAATGTTTCTCATTCAAACAGTAACATTTACTATATAGGAAATTTTCAGGCACTATTAACATTATAATGCATACGTTGGCTGAACAATACTATCCGATTTAACGTTAAGGTAATGGGTTCTTATTTTGTTTTACTAAGAGGTGACATGTTTTTTTTTACTAGCTGAAAAACAAACTAGAAAGTAGAAAATAATCGTTTGTTGTAGGCATAATTTTGATGTAGCTTATATAGCGTTAAAATTAAAACCTTTAAACTAATATTAACCACAGATATAAACATACCAATGAATGATCATGGACTGTATGATTTCACAATTGGTTTCTTCTAATGATCCATCGTGTTTCGGGAATATCGGATATTGTCTGAAATTACTTCTGTCTTATTTTCCTCTGTGATTGCGAAAGATGTTAACAAAGGCGATGCGCTGACAGTCGAAGCTGTCTTCACTCGAAAATGTTGTAATAGTAGGTTCTATAGGGCTGATAAACCTTTGTAATGCACTCTCTGAATAACTTATTGTCATTTAATAGGAAGAAATAAAGGAAGGTGTGTAATCAAAATATCCGATGTTATACTTATATCGGTCAAATTGGTAGAACCTTTAACAACGTATATTAGAACACAAAAATGCTTTCAATAATAGAAAAACTGATTCTACATACGCACATCACCTTCTAGATCATAATCATTCTTTTAACGATCAATCTCCAATTCTCCACATTCAAAATAATGACCTTTAGAATCTATGAACATTATAAATTAAAAAATACAGATATTATTCTGAATTTTGTCCTTCAAAATTTTAGATGTGTTTCAATTGCAGTGTCTTTAAAAATATTTCCATGCTGCCATATTTCTCCAAATTGTATTATGTCTTCCTTTCGTGTTCCAGCATATGTTTGTACTATTTTTGCCTTGAATAAATCTTCTTTCTAATATTTTAACAAAGAAGGTTTATTCAGATTAAAAAAAGCAGCAGAAGTGACCCTCAGTCCATAGTTCACTTCTGATCAAAGCTTCCTCTAAAAACTTCCATTCAGATCTATCTTGCGCAGTTGCAATCCAGTTGGTACATATCCTCTTTATGTCGTCATTCCGGGTTTAATTGCTCATCAGTTCAGTAAAAGAAAAAAACTGCAAAAATCTTAAACAGGTTTTTGAAGGATGATCACGTTTTTACCTCGTTTAGGCTCTGTTGCCTCTTCAAAGATGGGGTTTGTTAAAGGAAACGTCAATCTGCGTGTGTTACCACTCTCCTCAGACCACGTGATGGTTACAAAGCAGTAATGTCTGAAGGATTTCCTACCTTTGTGGGTGCCGGTTGGACCAACCCCGCTACCAAGTACAAGTTCCATTGGAAAAACGGTCCTTTTCAGATTGTTGGCTTTTTGTTTTTTCGGTGTAAATGAGTGAGGGATACCTGTGGCTATGTCCACCTAAGATCAGGTATCGTTGTGCAATGAGATTTGAAAGATTTTACTTGAAATAGATGATTTTTTTCACAGATTGACTGAGGTATTTTATAAATCGAGTGCCCCTATTATTTTCTTGTGAAAAACCGAGCCCTTATAATTTACAATAACATGACGGACATATACAACAAATTTATACGATTTCTATAATATGCTAATCCTTTTTAGGCACAACGTTTAGAGATGGTAAAGAAGAACAAACGATGGTTGTCATCGGATTGTTAGCACGAAAGACAGTGGATTTAATACCGTTACTCAAAGTATTGACTGCTGAAAAGGCTACTAAATTAAAACTTGACGAAAAAGTAATCGTTAGAAACATTAAAATACGTTACATTGATAACGTAAATGATATAACTATTAGCCCCTTTAGAAGAGAAATGAAAGAAACTTTTAATCGGTATAGTAAAATTATATTGCGAATGTTATGCTTAGTTCTGATCATTTGAGCCTGTATCTAAGTAGCTACGTATATAAACCATTATTAGGTGTATATAAATATGGGATCACCATTTCTGTATATCCAGAATTTAGTCAAAAAGGGATTTTGATATGTATGCACGAAAATTTTAATTGGACCATTTACAATGGTACTAACATGCATTAATTGTTCAAATGCTTGTATAGAATTTTTGTCTTTTTTGTTAAAATAACTCTGGTTTTATTTTTACTAACATATTTTAATTGTTTGTGTTTCTTTGTATTTAAGGATTTGTTACTTTTACTAATGACCTATAGGTGATCGGTGAAAACCCAAAAAGTACTTTAACACTTAGACTGCCGCCATAGTGAAAAAAAGAGGGTCCTACCAGCCGGACATATTTCTATCCCATATAAATAACATACAAGCGAGAATCAAAAGCTGATTCTCGCGGTAACAGAATCAAATTGGCCGTGCATCAAGGCATGCTTCTCATGGCAGTCAAAGTGTTAATAATAAATTTTAGTTAAAATTTTTCGGAATAAAAAGAAAAAGACAGTCAAGATTTGATTTCACGTGCAGAGCGTCTGTGTATCTGCTTATTGGCGACATGCAAGTACTTGGATGCGATACGAGAAACGATCGTGCGCGAGTAGCGGAGAAATCTTGCATTTTCTACTGCAAATTTCATAGATTTCATAAATTCATATTGTCAATTGTCATATTTCATATTCGTTTGTTTATTTACACCTTCTGTAACTGAAGAAAATGGGATTTAGGAAATGCTGTGTTATAAATTGTAAAAATACAACAAAAAATTGTCAATTTAAATTTTATTCGTTTCCAACTTCGAAGCACAAATTACAAAAAGAGAAAAGTGGATTTATATCATAAAAAATCATAAGTGACATAACCTAAATTATGCATTATTCTTGCGCCCGATTTTAGGTGTAAATTTTAGTTTCATAACACTCAGTTAGAGTTCAATTTAACCCAAAAATCAAGTTTAATGTTTAAATTTTATCTTTTTGAAGTTTACAAAAATGCATCAAGTTCAAGTTTTTTCTGAAGATGCATTAAGATATATTCGTTGTCCAAAAGTATACAGGGAAAGAATTAATTGTTCAAACCAATATTATGATATCATGGGCTTAACTTGCTAATTTATGCATTAGCATTATTTATGGTAATTTATTTTTCTTAATTCTTCCACATAATTCTTTTTTGACATTTGCCACTACTAAAGCTTTTCCATTTAACTCAGTGCTTGGTTGAAAAGTTATTTGGTGATTTACTTTCTCAAATCCAGTTTTTATTATTGCATCCATATTATTAAATTACAACATTAATGCTGTAATTTAATAATATATTTATTTGTATTTACACTACATACAACGTTTACCTTTTAATAACATACCGACATAACCTCAATCTTACTTTTTCTTCTTATTCTAATTTTTCTAAAATTATATAATTTTAGGATAGCTCTGATGATGACATTTATTATGTCGAAAGTATACTCAGCTTAATTAATAAATTATTTTACACACTATCAATTTTATTGAAAATATATTCATATAGTATGTCATAATTGGAGCCAAATAATGGAATCCCTTATCCGTTGAATGAATATTGTGATAAATTGGGAAAAGCAAAAGCTAGAATTGGAGGGTTTTTATTTTGCCCACCATTTGTTTGTTAGATTTCAACAGAGAGACAAGATATTTTTGTAATAAGCTGCTTTGATTATTAAACTGGCATTTAAGAATAAATTTTTCTGGCAAAATAAACTTCTTAAATGTAAAGGTGGCCCGTTATATTCTGCCAAAAGGGCTGGTGGAGTAGATTTGAGAGCTCCTAGGACTACCCTTAAGCTTTGTATTGTATTCGATCCAATTTAATCAAAAGAGATTTTGTTGCTGATCCATAGAAAAAGCTTCCATAGTCCAAAATTGATCTGGTATATGCTCTGTAAAATAATAAGTTTATTTTCGGATCTGCTCCCCAAGGATATTAAGGCTTTTTTCACATTTGGTAATGCAATTATTAATATGCTCGTTCCAGGTTAATTTTGAATCCAAGGTTAAATTTGCGGATATGCTACACAATTTGATTTTTGATTGTACTGCTACGATTAGTCGTGGAATAATTTTTAGCCCTGTTTTTAAATTAGCTGATTTCAAATAATTTTTTTCACAAAAAATAGGATCTCTCTTTTCTTAAATAGGATATCACAAACCAATTATTTTTAGGAATCGCATTTAGAACAGGCGGAGAAGGTGAACAGACTATGGTGAATACGGGACCCCTAACTAGACACGCCGATGATCTAGCTCCCGTATTGAAGGTTTTAGTTGGGGAACATGTTAAAAAGTTAAAATTGAATGATCCTGTTGATGTTAAAAATATAAAAATGAGTTATATTCTAAATGCGAAAGATGTTTTAATTAGCCCATATAGGGAAGACATGAAGCAAACTATATTACGGTATGGAGGAGAAAAGTGGTTGAATGGCATATTTCATTTGCGTTATCAAGCCATATTTCCAGATTTTAATTTTTTCGTAAACTATAATCAAATATTTGGTATGGGAAATGGAATTTTAAAATTTAAGATTCAAAATTTTAATAATAAATGCGTAATTATGATTTTTATTACAATTTTAACCCAACTATCTAGAAGTTAAGTCAGAGGTTTCCAACCAGTGTACCTCGGCACACTGGTGTGCCCTGAAGTCCCTGTAGGTGTGCCTCGAAATTTTACCGTTTTTTTCATTGAATAAAGCTTCTGTTCTGCGCTTGTTTGCTGTTTTAATAGTTCAGCACTCGACCAAAAGAATGCAGTAGCAGCAGTATCGTATGCAGACGTGCGTTAGTTTTAGCGATAGCGTTTGAAGACACTCACATCGTTGAAAAAAACCTCGATGCTTGATATGTAGCAAACAGCTGTTCAACGAAGCCATAGTGCCGAGTAAATTAAAAAGATTAAAAATAAATTAAAAAGCATTCATTTGCGGTTAAAAAAAACTATTGAATATTTTAAAAGGCTCTTGGCAAATCAGTCTATTCAGGCTTCCACTTGATAAAGTACAAGAAGCTAGTTACGCTGTGGCTGAGTTGATTGCATACATCGAGGCGGCTTATGACACGGCCTTGTTCACTACTGATGTAAAGGGTGAACTGATATACAGAGAAAACGACCGTGGCCTTAACGGTTAAACTCAATTACAGTAAACTAGTTGAAGAACCAAGTTGTTAACCAAGAGGTACACGCCTGCTTTATAGATTTTGAAAATGCCTTTGACAAAGTACGCCACAATAAACTCAAAGAAATCCTGGATTGTAAGAATATCGACACCAGAGACATATAAATAATATTAAATCCGTACTGGAATCAACGAGCTAATATAAAAATAGAAGACTAAACATCGGACGAAATAGAAATACGTAGAGGAGTACGACAGGGTTGTATATTGTCACCGCTCTTGTTTAATATCTACAGCACAGCGAACAAATATGCCAAGAAGCCCTCTCACATGCAAACGAAGCTCTTTCATATGCTGACGATACTGTGATAATGGCAAGAACAGCGGAAGATCTACAACATCTAGTTGAAAGTATGAATGAGATATGTAATAACTACGGTATAAGGATGAACGTCAAAAAAAAAACAAATATATGACCTTCAGTAAGAATCCAATGCATGACACTAATATCGCAATAAACGGTACCCAACTCGAAAAAGTAAGCAAATACAAATACTTGGGAACCCTCAACAATGAAACAGTTGAAAAAAAGAAGAAGAAGTCGAAGAAGCAGAGACTCAAAAAGAAGTCAAAACTGAAGAAAATCAAAGTTACTGTAGATGTTGCATTATTTTGGATTCCCTTCTTCAATGAATATCCACAAAGAAAGCTATATATGTTTTCAACTTTATATATCTGTGAATCTGCTTGTTAATCGATGAACATCATCAAGAACAAAAATCGGGGACAGCTAAAACCTTGAGAGGACGACTTGAGGGTGTGCTTGTCTACAATACGTCCTAGAAAGGATTTAATAATGAAGGATGAAGGGTCACCAAGCACAAATATCGCAATAGATATCGTGTCATTATTTTTAATTAGACGGACATTATGTTTTATACTCCATTATTTTTTATTATCAACTGATCTCTTTTAACATAATAATATGTTTGTAAGTGAATTACAATTTGACTTATCATCGATCTGTATTGCTTTCTCGGGCTACGCCCAGTCCGGTGACTCGGCGCTGCAGGATGTGAGCCCCTTCTGCCCGGTTTTATATAGTAAATAGGTGAATATGGGATATTGGATTTGCAAAAAATAATTTAATGAGTATGTTTACAATTGTTTACGTATTATTCACTTTTATCGCAAATAAAACCATATTTAACAATAACATTAAATTATCTAGTTTAACTAGATATTTTATTTATTTGATTTATTATTATTGTTTACATATACTTTCCTTTTAAACTTTTTGCTACTTTTTACAAAAATTCAAATCCTTTCGGAAAGATAACGCAAGAAAAAATTTGCCATTGAACAACACTTTATTGTACATAAAACTATTTTCTGTTGTTATGTCTCTAAAACCTTCATTGTGTAACATAGTTTTGTAAATACTTAGTTTTAATTTAAAAACATTACTTTAGTTTTTGTTCATCATTTATTATGCTTACTACAAAGCTTCTTTATTTGCTTCATATTGCTTGGGAAAATATCATCACCTTCATGCAAAAATAAGTATAATTCATTCTTTGGTAGTTTTAGTAAGTTATATATCAATATTATTTTTACTCGTGAAGTATAATTGATCTTTTGCAAGTATTTGAAATATAGCTTGTGTTTTTCTTAGTTACTTATATCCATTCAATCGGACTGCACAGAAATACAGTTGAGTCCATAACTAGTCCTAACTTTCCGTAATCATAAGAAGGTTGTTAAGTTTGAACACCCACTCCCGATAAGCGGGCAGTTAGCTTCAGTCAGTTGCACATGCCGTGTTGAATTAACAGTGGCGAATAAATTAAATGTTAAATTCAGAATGAGTAGTGCCAAAAAAACGGAAAATTTTCGAAGAGAATCGTACGTTCCAAGGAAGATGGGAAAATCAATATTTCCTCATCGAATTAAAAGGCAAACCTCAGTGCATTATTTGTTGTATTCGCGGTATCAAAAGAATACAATATTAGTAGGCATGAAATCCAGCACAAAACAAAATACGACAAATATCAAGGTGAAGCTCACAATACTCTTGTAAAAGAACTTGAAACTCAATTGAATAAACAAAAATCTCTATTTACAAAACCGACAGCTGTTCAATCATCAAGCTTAGCAGCATTATATATGAAGTATGTTTAGAGCTTTTTAGAAGTAAAAAGCATTTAGAGATGGAGAAATGATCAAGCGGTGTGCCGTTAAAATGGCGAGATTTTTTGGAGATGAAAAAATGTATGTATTGTGATGTCCTCTCGTAGGAGTCACTATCCGGGTAGCTTTTAGACAGTCAGAGACAGAGTTCAAAACAAAAATAAAACTTTATTGCCTTCCTTAAATTAAATTGACAAAAATCTTATGTACATATTTACGATTTGGTTTAGTCTTCTCAGTACCTGGCCTATTTATTCAAATTAAGTTTGACCATGTCATATGAAATTAGTTCTATCGGCAAGCGAATGCGTATTTGAAATTTTACGGGAACGTTGTATCGATTTAATAACAGCGGACGATAGGTACAAAGAAAAGAAAGGAACTCAACACGTCCCTTAAGCGATTCGGGTTAACAGGACACTCCTCGACAGTCTCAACACGACTGCTTCAGAGTATGGGTAGTGAAGAGATCAACACTCTCTTCGGGTAACGGCGGTATGGGACGGAACAACTTGTGAACTCAACACGTCCACAAGCCGGGGTAGGGAAGAAGAGAACCTTCAGTCAACACCTGTCGATTCTCTCTCTATGAGGAAATGTTGCGGTTTATATAGCGGAGCTTGGTAATTAGTTTTGCCCTTTCTACTGTCGATATACTCCTACTTCATGGGTTGGTTCGCGCGCACGCTGGTTTAACGGTGATGGCTTGGACTCATCGTTACAGTATGTAACTCATGTATTTAAAAAATTGGTCGACAAAAAATGGTCGAAATTTTTTTCATAGCTGTATGTTGATACAGTGTGTTCTTTGGCGACTCGTAGCTGAGTAACTTTTAAAACTTTTAAGTTGTCATAATCGTTAATAATAAATACATTCTAATAAAAACTTTTATAGCTATTTGAAGCCACTCTAAATCCAGGGGCGTCGGAATATTTTCAATAATAAAATCACGTTTAAAAAATTTGGTTAAAATCAGTTAATAACTGCAAATTTTATAAAGTTGTTTTCAATCTGAGTGGGACAAACTGTGTAATTGATGCCACACAAGTATTCAGGCGAAAACAGCTTTCGTCTATCGAGAAATAGGTTAATATTTTAAATAAATAATGGAACTGTCGTTATAGAGGATATATTAACAAACATTTTTGGTAATGCTTTGGATCTTTGCTTTCGACTGCTTTTTGCTAGCATATTTACTAATTTTATTCATACTACTAACTGCTTAATGTTCTATTTTAATTTTTTTCCTTAAATACTGTTTATTTGTAGTGTAGTAGTTTTAGTAATATTAGAAGTAGCAAATAGTAAGTAGATTCTTTTTAGTGTTGGCATTTATCTTCAATATTTTACTGTAATATAATTTTTTATACAGATAGCATAAGAAAGCAATTAAAATGTTGGCAATTGCTTGTCAAAACACGATACATACAAGTAACTTTTACGTTTATTTGAATAATAATTCAAATTTAAAAAATAAAGATATTAATTATAGAAAATAATGGTAAAATTTTCACACAGTACTGCAATATTATTCTTATACCTTTGTCTATGAATCTATGAACTTGTGTTCGTAGATATATCTACAGGGTGAGTTTTTAAGGTGACATCTGTCGATAATTCCATTATGGCATAGAATATCCAAAAAAACTTATTTAGAAAAAATGTAGGCAATGATATTTTCCATACTTAGAAAATATGTGGAATTCTACAGGGTGATTAAGAAGTACGTGGTATAGTAGACATACAATTTTTTAAATGGGACACCCTATATATTTTTTCATATTTATATTCCTCTCATAATTCTTGTTCCTATATTAGGCTTTGCGTTACTATATATACTAGCGGCAAAAATTCTGGAAACTTTTCAAAAATTTTAGTTTTGTTATCAGCATTCTTCTTTTTCACAAGACTTATGTTATTTATAAGTTTATTTATAATTTTATTACGTCTTATAATAAAACAACAGCCGATAGCTATTCTATCTATACAGCCCTAAACATCCATCCTTGGATATAGGCCTCCTCCTCCTTCTTCCATGTCTCTCTATCTTGGACAATTTGCATCTATTTTGACCCGGCGTGTTTCTTCAGGTCATCTGACCATCGTATTTGTGGCCTTCCCCTTTTTCGTTTGTGATTCCATGGTCTCCAATGAATAATTGTCTTAGTCCATATTTCATCTTTCTGCCTTAGGGTGTGTCCGGCGAACTTCCATTTAAGCTTTGCTACTTGGGTTGAGAAATCTTTCACTTATGTTTTATTACGGATCCATTCGTTTCTTTTTCTGTATGATAGTTTAATGTTCAGCATTTGTCTTTCCATGGATCTTTCTGTCTTTGCTATTTTTTCCATATTTTCCTTTGTAAAGGTCCATGTCTGAAAGCCATATGTGAGGACAGGGAGTATACATTGATTGAATACTCTCGTTTTTAGGTATTGGGGGTATTTTGAATTCTTTATTCTTAGTATTCTTTATTCTTTATCTTATTCTTCTCTTTATTTCTTCGGTCTGATTTTCTTTATTTAATTTAGTGATTTGACCTAGATATATATACTCTTTTACTTGTTCTATTCTTGTTTGTGCCACTGTAATTATTAGTTCTTTTGGTTGATTAGTCGTGGTTTTTGTTTTACTGTAATTCATCTTGAGTCCAATTTTTGTCGATTCTCTATCTAGTTCTTCCATCATTCTTTGTAATTCTTCACTTTTTTCTATTATTAATACAATATCATCAGCATATCGTAAATGATTCAGATTTTGCCCGTTTATGTTAATTCCCAAGCCATCCCAGTGTAGTCGTTTGAAAACATCTTCTAGCGCTTGGTTGAATAGCTTGGGCGAGATGGTATCTCCTTGTCTTACTCCTCGGTTTATTTTAATAGACTCCGTTTGTTTCATTAGCTTAATAGTTGTTGTTGCCTTGTATATATTTGTAATTAAGTCGGTATATCGGTAGTCTATTCTGCTGTTTTGTAGGGAATTCTGTACTGCCCAGTGTTCCACACTATCAAATGCCTTCTCGAAGTCAATAAATGCCATGTATAGCGGGATATGATATTCGTTAGTTTTTTCGATTAAAATCTTCATCGTTAAAAGGATGATCACTTGTACTGAAGCTCTTTCTAAATCCGGCTTGTTCTCTTGCCTGGTATACATCTAATTTAGTTGTTAATCTATTTGTTAATATTTTGGTTAATAGTTTGTACATCACATTTAGTAAAGTTATGGGTCTGTAATTCTTTAGATCCTTTTTATCTCCTTTCTTAAATAGTAACAGTGCTATTGCTTCGTTCCAACTGTTTTCCCACCATGTTTTAGCATTTCTACAGTCACCCCGTCTTTTCCTGGCGATTTATTGATCTTCATCTCTTTGGGTGCTCTTCTTATCTCGTTCTTACTAATCTCTGGTTGTAAGTCGGAATTAACATTTTTTATTTGTAGTTGCTTAAGGATTTCTTGGGTTGGTTTCTGTTTTGTATTGTAGAGGTTTTTATAATATTTTTGTGTTATCTGTATAATTTCTTCTATATTATAGGTCTCTGTACCGTTTTTGTTCTTTATACCATTAATTTGTATGGTTCCAAGTTGTGGTTTTAAGCACTTCATGTTTTTATTTTGTTCAATTGCTTTTTCTATTTTTTCTTGCTGTACGCTCCTTTTATATTCCTTCTGATAGCTTTGTTTACCTCTTTGTAATCTACTGTGTTTCTCTTATCTTGTTCCAGTAATGATTTTCTTTTACTCATGAGATTTTTTGTTTCCTGGAATACATAGTTTTCCTTCTTTACTCTTGTTTGTGCTACCTCTTTTTCCGCCTTTGCTAATGATAGTAACTGATAAGATAACTAAGGTTAATAGCTGATTTATTTCATCGATATTTTTGTTTTCCAAATCTCTAGTGACCGGTATACTTTCCCTTATTTTTTGTTTATATTCGTCTTTTGATTGCTTAAGTTTTTCCATATCTAGTTTCGATACTTTTTCCATTTTCTTTTTTGTTTCGAATTGGCTATTAATCCTGAGTTTGGCTCTGACAAATCGATAGCTATTAGTAGATATATTTAAAAAAAATGGTACAATGATTATTATCAACAAAATTAGTATTTGGTAGAATAACCTTTGTTTTTTAGGACAGACTCAATTCTGCGAGGCATGGAGTTGACGAGACGAGCCAAATCTGCTGTAATAACTCTAAACCAGTTTTGAATAATCGCTTCTATCAGTTCTCTCTTGTTGCTTGGGTTTCGGCGTGATACAAAGACTTTCAGCCTTGACCATAAATTTTCTATTGGATTTAGATCGGGACTATTTCCAGGCCAAGGCAGAACAGTAACATCATGGTTTCTCAACCATTCCATGGAAGTCTTAGCCGTATGACAAGGCGCTCCATCCTGCTGGAAGATGCATTGTTGAGCATCCCCTTCGAACAAATCTCTGATAGTCGGCAGCAGTTTGGCTTGCAGTATCTCTTCCTGATATTTTTTTGCATCAATATTGCCCTCTATTACTGCTAAACGTAGAACTCCATTAGTGGTCATGCAAGCCCATACCATGACACTCACAGGATGCTTCATAGTGACCGTAGTACACTGGGGCAAAAGGTCTTTTCCCGGTCGGCGACGAACAAACTTCACTCCGTCACTCCCAAAGATCGAGATTTTGGTTTCATCACTCCAAATTATTTTACTCCATTGTTCTTCTGTCCACCCTCTGTGTGCCAAATCTCAATCAATGCGTTTTTGCCTCTGTTTTTTGTTCAGGAACGGCTTCTTTCTAGGAATTCGTGCTCGCAAACCTTTTTCACACAACTTTCTTCTGATAATGCGGTCCAATATTTGTAATCCAGTTGATTTGACAATACCGTTAATATCTTTTGCGGATCTGCGACGATCTTCTAAAGAAAGTCGGCATATTCTACGCACATCGTAGTGACTAACTTTGGATTTTCTGCCAAATCTTTTTGCTGATTTTGTCGTTCCACGTTTGCAAACTTTCATTACACCTGATTTTGTGGCGCCACCACCCAATTTCTTTGCTATTTCTTGATAAGTGTAACCTTCCTCTCGAAGGATAATTGCTTTAGCTCTCTTTCCTGGCGACCAGTCAACACGTTTTGGGTTTCTGGTTGCCATTTTCGTTGAATCGAAGCTGATGAATTCCTCTCCGACTACTAAACAATATCACCTTAGTAACAACTACCTGATGTCACTAATAAACACTGGAAGCGACACGAATCTGTACTGAAGGCCACCTAACCGCTTCCAGTTGGGTTGTTGACTGATTAGCAAAACCCTGACGCAATACAGTATTGCCAATGTCGCCATTCACAAATCTCGGATTTTCGGCGTTTCGCTTGAATCTGGTTCAATATTTTATTAAATAATGATCTTAATAAAAAACTACATAAATCATGATCATGAGACGAGTCTTGCTAAAAAAAACGATAATTTTTGTAAAGTTTCCAGAATTTTGGCCACTATTGTAGAGTATTTAACAAGTTATGACCATTTTTATCTTGAAATCGCTTTGAAATCAACACCATCTATATAAAGAAGTAATGCATAAACAGTTATTTATGTTATATAATAAGATAAACAATATATTTTTGTTTTTAAATTAAGTTTAATTGAAATCTTTGATAAAAATTTGTATACAGGCTCAACCATGTTATTAATAATTCTGTAGAATTCCACATATTTTCCAAGTATGGAGAATATCATTGCCTACATTTTTTCTAAATAAGTTTTTTGGATATGTCTAAAAACTCACCCTGTATATGTATCAGAGTTTGTCGTGCACTTGCCATTTTTATAAATTGAACCATATGTGTAAATTATGTAAACACAAAGAAGACTAGATTGAGATGTGTATTTAGAAAAATCTAGATGTGTCTGATCATTCATAAAGATTATTAAAACAAATGAAACGTATTTCCTTGCGTTTGAGAGTCTCTAAATGTGTTTTACAAATTTTCACATATAATCACATAAATATATGAAATATTTAATGTAATATTAATTTTAGTGCGGTTAAACATTTCAAGGAAATCTCAACTACTCCCCCCGAAGAATTAAATATTGAAGGTACCAAATTTGCTGGCAAATTATGGAAGTATTGGATGAGTCAAGAATCTGGTGTTAATTTTATGAAAGATATTACTGACCGAACGGGAGAGGTAGGTATACATATCCGAATTTTTATAGTAGAACTCATTTTCATACACAAATTCTTTTTAAATAATATATTCTTCGTAAATAGGGAAACATAAAACGTTTGATTGTACTAAAGTTTCTGTAAAATTAGTTATTTATATTATTAGATATGTGTGTGCAGCGTTAACAGGCCTTTTAGGTCCATTGCTGGATGGCTAATTTCCATCGTTTTCTGTTCTTAGCTATCAGCTTGAAATCTCTGATCCCCATCTCTCTGACATCTTCCATCACTACATCTCTCCATTTTTGTCTTGGTCTTCCTCTCTTTTTTTGCCCTCAGGTACTCTCCAAGCAATATTCTTGACTAGTCTATTACCTTGCATTCTTTCTAGATGTCAGAGCCATTCTAGTCTACGTTTTTTCACCACTTTTGTTATTAATTACTATTTAATTGGGAATAAGCCACAATTAAAGATAAAAATACGTTTATTGACGTTTCAATTTCCACTTCGGAAATCGTTCTCAAAATACAAACAGTAAATTAAACAAACTTTGTTTTTTGTTACATAGTGAAAAATTCTTCTAATAATTTAATTTTATCTGACTCATTTATATTGACAATTCAGACATACATTATGCATTTTAAAGTAGATAACTTTAAAATGATATTGCCAATATTGTTGAGTTGCGCTCCTGGGACGACTTTACTTATAAGATAGTTCATTCGATTACATGAAATCAACTTTAACTTGAGAATATCCGTCAGAAAAAAATCATAGCATGTAATTCGTCTTTAAAAAGAGAAACACATGACATGATGACAGTAAAATTCTCCTGTTAGTGATTCCATAGTAAATTATGAGAGAAAAACCAGGAAAAAAAACCTCATAGTACTATCCCGACATTGTAAGTATTTGTTCGTGAATTTAGTTTACCTTCAACAAACATCAAAATTCTGATTTTATATGTTACGTTATTTAAAAAACATAAATGATGTATCCTCTATATGTTACTGACTTACTAATACTGGTATTTTCTTATTAATAACTTCCTCTTTCAATATTGGTAACCAGATCCTACTACATTCTGCCGAGGAATTTGCGACACAATTGGCCTTATTTAGCATAATTAGAGCCGCTTCTTTGATTTTTCTTTTTTTTGTCATCCGTTTCTTTTAGGACTACATTGATTACATTGACTATATGATTCATTGGCAACTAGAACAAGACTAAACATATCGGCTATAATGGAGTTATTAACATTATGTACTGATAATACATATTTTCAACTAAATAATTAATTCTATAAACAAAATTTTGGTCTAGCAATGGACTCTAGTTTATCTTCATTCTTAGCCGATATATTTATAGAAGATTTTGAAACAAATATCATTTCTAAACAAAATTCCAAACGCACAGTATGGTGGAGGTATGTAGATGATGTATTCTCAATATGGCCTCATGGATCAGAGTTGTTGGACACATTCCTAAATGATATAAACGATAAAGAAGAGACAATAACATTTACCATGGAAAAGGAATATAATAACACGCTACCTTTCCTGGATATTTTAATCTCTAAGAACGATACTGGATATGAGACTCAGGTGTATAGAAAACCAACACACCAATAGATATTTAAATTTCAAATCAAATCACAATATTAATGTAAAAAAGGGAATAATTAAATCCTTATACGATAGAGCCAAAATTACTTGTTCTAACGAAAATTCGTTCTTGAAGGAGAAACATTTGTTAACATATGTTTTATTAAAAAATGATTATCCTTTATCGTTTATAAATAAGGAATTTTCAACAATCGATCGAATAGAACAGAACAACTTAGAACGAGATCCTACAGCATACACAAGGAATAATATGAGGAGAATAACAATACCGTACATAAAAGGATTATCAGAAAAACTTAAAAGGATAGGAAATAAATTCAACATTTCAACAACATTCAAAACAACAAACACGTTGAGATCTATTTTGTCCAAAACCAAACCTAAACAATGAACAAGAAAGGACAAAGAATTGCATTTATAAAATACCTTGTGAATGCGATCAGTTTTATTTAGGTGAATCATCAAGGCCATTAAATGTTAGAATAAGTGAACATCAATATTATATTAAAAATAGAGAATTTGATAGATCTCAAATATGTAAACACGCATGCGATAATGAACATAGGGTTCAATGGAATAATTCAAATGTAGTCCTAAAAGAAACGGATGGTAAAAAAAGAAAAATCAAAGAAGCGGCTCTAATTATGCTAAATGAGGCCAATTGTGTCGCAAATTCCTCGGCAGAATGTAGTAGGATCTGGTTACCAATATTGAAAGAGGAAGTTATTAATAAGAAAATACCAGTATCAGTAAGTCAGTAACATATAGAGGATACATCATTTATGTTTTTTAAATAACGTAACATATAAAATCAGAATTTCATGTCGCAATATTTCGGTACGTATTCTTATTTTTTGTTCTGCTATTTATGTTCAAACGCATTTTCCTGTTAATCGCTAGGGTCCGTGGACATAATGGGCCGTCTTTTTTTTTTCACTACTATATGCTATTTGTTGGGTTGATTTTTCTAGAATTTTCTCGTTTGAAAGTACCATTTCCGGCCTTTTCCCATTTTATGCCATCCAGAGTTAGTTTTTTATGTCTTATCTTCACGTTTTTACCTTCAGCTCTTGATTCCTGGCCTTTATTTACAATTTCTTGCTTCCTGTGTCTTTCCTTTTCGGTCAGGTCATCATTGATGAAGTTCTTTTCCAGTAAAACATCTGAGTTTGCTTTTTTCTTGCATTATCTTAATTTTTCGCCATAATCCTTCATTTGTACCAGACATATATTGTTTTTTAGCTTCATTGCAGATTTTATTTCGACATCCTCTTTTAGGTGCTTTTGTATAAAATCTTTTAGGTTATTTTTTAAAAGAGTGTTTCATCTGTTGCGACTATTGGTAGACCCGTAATTACTATGTTATTTCTTTTCATTTGTTTTTCAATCCTTTCTACTTTCTACTGTTATTACATATAACAAAATATATGTGGGTTCTACTTAGCAAACTTACAACTTACTAGCAAATTTTCTCTCATGAAACTAATTTTATAAAATTAACCTATAGTATTATGTTTTAGGCAAATCCCATCGTTGACACAATAAAACATTTTACCGTTGGCAGTGAGTACACCACATCAACCATCTATAATTTTATAAATAAACTACTGCCTTCACCGAACGAAGACTGGGCTATAAAGGAGACTGAGAAATTAAGGGAACAATTATTGGTAAAGTATTATCTGTTTGATATTGAATTGAGTTTTTTATGGTTACTTATAATTATTAAAAATAAACGATCGACAAATCTCAAATGGTGATCTCAAATGACAAAGATGACATGGAATACATGCTTAGAAAACTAATTGAAGAATACTAGAAATGAGGATTAAATATCAATTTAGAAAAGACAAAATACCTCTCAATTGGAGCTGAAGCAACTCGATATCGATGACAATCAAAAAATAAATCCATGCAACGAATATAAATATCTGGGCGTCATCTTCGACCGTAGTGGAAAAGACGAACGAGAAATAGAATATCAAATTGTACAAGCACGAAGAGCTATAGCATGTTTGAACGGAGGTCTATGGAGTAAAGAAATATCAAAGAAAAGAAAATGGAACATCTATGAGACAATGGTTAAAACTAGCCTACTTTATGGAGCTGAGACATGGAAAATAACCGAGAAATATAAGAAAAAGGTCGAAGCCACGGAAATGGATGCCATCAGAAGATCGATGAGAATATCAAGAGCCGACAGAATACGGAATGAAGTGATAAAACAACAAATGAGTATAGAGGGCACTATAGTTGAGAAGAGGAAACGAGGAAGACCACCACAGCGCTGGAGTTAGGAAAGCGATTAGCGCTCGAAATCTGGACGAAGACCTAACTCAAGACAGAATACAGTGGCGTTTGGGAGTCGGACAACGTCGTAAGACGTTATAAAACCATTGTTTTGACGACGTTTCGGCAAGGTCACACTTGCCATTGTCAAGTCAGATTAGTTCTGCTTCGTCTTGATGTTTCAGGAGAACTGATTTCTCGGTCGCTGCTCGCTAAGTTTAAATACCTTGAAGCGCTTCTGGTGATTGGTTCTGTGCCCAGAGTGGGTGGGGTCTTCTTCGCTATTTTAATTTCTACGTTTTTCTGTAGAATTGGTTTCCACGTATTTGGGAGTCTTTGAGCATCGTCTCTGGTATTTAAATTTTTTGGATGTTTTTCGATCTCTATGGCTTCCCTGATTACACGTTTGGCCTTATTTTCGATATTGGCTAGCATTGTTGTTCCATTTAAGTCGATTTTGTGTCCTGTGTTGATGGCATGTTGTGCTAGAGATGAAGTTTTCTGTTTTCTTTCGATGGCGTTTCGATGTTCTTCGCGTCTAACTTGTATCCTTCGATTTGTCTGTCCGATGTACGATTTATCGCAGTCCTCACACGGGATTCTGTATACACCTTGATTTTCCAATGCAACTTTTGATTTTGCCGATGGTAATATGGTTGCGATTTTTTTGTCGGTGTTAAAAATCGTTTCTATGTTGTTTTTATGTAGCACTCTGCTGATTTTGTCTGTCGTATCCTTTATATAGGGCAGGATAGTTTTTCCGACTGGTTTTTCCTCTTCTTCTGGATCTTTGATTTTGTTTCGGGATTTCTGTGCCTTTTCATGTATACGATTGAAAACAACTGAAATCACATATATATATATATATATATATATATATATATATATATATATATATATATATATATATATATATATAAACGATCGAACTTTTGTAAATCATACTCTAAAAATAAAATCACTAAAGTAAGTCAAAAAAAAAACCTTTCATATTTTAATTCGAATGTTGTGTCCACATAGATTACCACTCAGATATTATCTCAACTGACTTCATGTAAATCAATTAATTAGAAAAGACTTGCAAGTATATATGTTTATTCTCACTGACTTTTGGAGTTAGACAGCATATCTTGAAATAAAATTATGATGGAAACCCTTTAAAAAAAAATTGCCGCTGAGTTGATTCGAAAATCAAAATAGAAAACTACTTTAAACTAAAAGTCAACGAAAATGTAGAAGATCTGTAGCAAGTTTGGTTATAGATTTCTATCTGAAGGATGGGAAGATCCCCTTCCTGTTATTTAAGATCTTCCGATCTGTTAATAGAGATTCATTGATGTAAACTTTATCAAACACAGTTATTAGATATCTGTATTAAAGAGTGTCACGAAAAATGCTTTTTATTTGCTACTATCTCTATTCTATAAGGAAGATTGTATATTTGTAATAAAATTTTTTTAATAATACTATTTTTTTTTAATTTAAGGCCAAGCTTGGTAATAATGGTGTCCTTCTATATCCATCTGCTCCATTCCCAGCGAGTTATCACCATGCTGCTTATTTACGACCATGGAATTTCCATTACTTTGTGATTTGGAACGTACTTAAATTTCCTGTTACGCAGGTACCCATGGGTCTCAATAAAGAAGGATTACCAGTTGGTATTCAAGTTGTAGCAGCACCCTACCAGGATCACTTATGTATAGCTGTAGCAAAAGAATTAGAAAAAGCGTTTGGCGGTTACGTACCACCCTTCGAAACTTCTTAGGTCTAATTATTTATTACCAGGTTTCAATTTAAAATAATAATGTTTTAGGAAATAAAATCCATTAATTAATTAACTTTGAAAAATTAAAAGTACTTTCGCTTTCTACAATCTGTAAATTGAATTTGTAGAAGAAAAACAATTGTCAAACAAACATTTTTATCTGGTGGATAAAATTTTACTTTGGATAAAAATCTGGTACTTTAAACGGAAGGTTTTATAGACGTGAAAACATAATTATTTGTTGTTTTACATTTTGTCATCTTATTTAATCGAAAACAGTTCTCCTGGTAGATGAGAAGCTGTACTTAATCAGTATTTTAATATAAATGACGTTAATATTTTATTTTGAAATATTTTTTATACTCAGGGTAGATATTTATAAACTTGATGGGATTTGTGGAATTAGATAATTTGTATCTAAATTTATTTTTTTTTTTGTATTTCTAAGAGATATAGTTTTGGATAAAATAATAGACGTACTACACAAATTAAATAGACTTTTATTTAATCAGATACTACCTACTACCTAATATCGATATTAATAAGAGAAATAAGGGATTCGGAAATAATGTCGAGTGAAAACTGGCACTGATTTATCCTATACATAAGAAATATCATTGCTAAACGTTGGCTTTAAAAAATACAAGATAGTAAACAAAATATTGGAGCACACAAAAGGTTTAATTACTATTTAACTGGGAATAAGCTACAATTAAAGATAAAAATACATTTATTGACGTTTCAATTTCCACTTCGGAAATCGTTCTCAAAATACAAACAGTAAATTAAACAAATTTTGTTTTTTGTTACATAGTGAAAAATTCTTCTAATAATTTAATTAGACATACATTATGCATTTTAAAGTAGACGACTTTAAAATGATATTGCCAATATTGTTGAGTTGCGCTCCTGGGACGACTTTACTTATAAGATAGTTCATTCGATTACATGAAATCAACTTTAACTTGAGAATATCCGTCAGAAAAAATCATAGCATGTAATTCGTCTTTAAAAAGACAAACACATGACATGATGACACTAAAATTCTCCTGTTAGTGATTCCATAGTAAATTATGAGGTAAAAACCTCATAATTTTTATGTTTTTTTAAATAACGTAACATATAAAATCAGAATTTTGATGTTTGTTGAAGGTAAACTAAATTCACGAACAAATACTTACAATGTCGGGATAGTATTATGAGGTTTTTTTCCCCATAATTTACTATGGAATCACTAACAGAAGAATTTTAGTGTCATCATGTCATCTGTTTGTCTTTTTAAAGACGAATTACATGCTATGATTTTTTCTGACGGATATTCTCAAGTTAAAGTTGATTTCATGTAATCGAATGAACTATCTTATAAGTAAAGTCGTCCCAGGAGCGCAACTCAACAATATTGGCAATATCATTTTAAAGTCGTCTACTTTAAAATGCATAATGTATGTCTGAATTGTCAATATAAATGAGTCAGATAAAATTAAATTATTAGAAGAATTTTTTACTATGTAACAAAAAACAAAATTTGTTTAATTTACTGTTTGTATTTTGAGAACGATTTCCGAAGTGGAAACTGAAACGTCAATAAACGTATTTTTATCTTTAATTGTGGCTTATTCCCAGTTAAATAGTAATTAATTTACAATGCCACAAGAAAATAGCTTCAGAACAATACACAGAAGGTTTGGCAACACATCAAGGTTTTAGAAAAGGGAAGTCAACTATAGATAAAATATTTGTAGTAACGCAAACACTATTTTTTATTTATTTATTGCTAATTTACAATCTACTTCAATACAGTAATAAGTAAATACGATGTAAGTTCTTGGCTTGTGGCAGGTGTCGTCCATTGACGACTCTCTGGAATTTACCTAGCAGCTAGGTCTTCTGGCCAAAGTCTTTTTAGACGTCTGTCAACCAGTGGGGGGTTGAATAATTCGTATATGAGATGGTTTGGATGGTCTGCGCTGCGATTCATGTATCTTCTGGGGTGGTCAGCAATCACATCATTGATGAAGGGGATGTTGAGGTCTGCATGCAGGGTTTGGTTTGACACATACCATGAGGCTTTAGCTAACATATGAATAGTTTTTGACTGAAATGTCTGCAGTATTTTGGTGTTGGATGGTTTGCTACAGCCCCACAGCTCAATTCGGTATGTCCACACTGGTTTGTACGCAAAAAACTAGAAAAATTTACGAACGTGATACATAACTAAAATTTTCCTACTATAATAATCCTTTACTAGTGCCCTGTTTCTACTTAATACGTTTAATAGATATCGACAAAAAATTCGTCGGTAATTATTTTTCAAAGAAAATAGAACAGATTGCATCATTCAAATATATTATTATATTATTGAGAATGTATATTTAAGTACAAATAGTTCATTAGGTGGTGCAGCCACATTTGTAAAATCTAATATAGTGAATGTGTACTTGTGCTTCTATTCAATTAATTTAAACTCTGCCTGCAATCTTCAATATTATAAATTGAAATACCATATCCTCTACAAATGGCGGCCGTAGCACAGGTATAACAAGCTAGAGAGTGACGAAGGAAAAGAATATTCTTTGAGAAGATAATGATATAGAAACTAACATCGATCTGCTTTCGGAAGAGTTGAATGTTCTGTTGGTAGGAGAAATCTAAATTTAAATCTTCTCAACCTAACAATGTTTTAATGATATAACTTAAACTTACACAAATATTAAACAAAAACAAAACTTTCTTTGAAATTACAAATACGTGATTTTACGCGCAGTGATAAATACTCTCACCTGGAGAGAGCTGTCACTTCGATTAAGTATCACAGCGTACTGATCACCTGAAATTCTGAAACAGTGTCATTTCCTCTTATGAACAATGCTAAATGAATTTCTTGATGGTAAAATCTATCGTATTAGCTGAGAATTATCGTCTAAGACAATATTATTGCGTAAATGGTGAGGAATTCACTCATAGCGCGTTGTAACGGCGAGTTAATAGAATTCTGTTGGTTAGATTTTCTTTGCTGTTTCCGATGTTAATACATTATAGCTAACTTTTCTGTATTTTCTTTCTTATACATATTAAGATTCTATTTTTAGCGTTGTTCCGCTTGTAATATGCTTTTGCAAAGAAATAATTGTTGAAAATAATTATATTTAGGTAGTATTTCATCTCTTTTTCTCTATTTCTTTTCCGGTTATTGGAATATCACTTCAGAGTTTAAATTCGTCTTAATACCCAGTCTTATTGATCTTACTATTTAATAAAATGAATACACATTATTGTCAGAACATATTTTTATTGAATTTACACAATAAACAAATGTTTTTAAATAAACAAGAATATAAAAAATAACTATATTTTATATTGCAAACGTATAGTATTTTTCATGGAATTGAAGTTTAAATGAATGATCGAAATATTTTATTAACTGTCCATTTTACCAACTGCAATAAGACTAATAGCTGTCAAATCAAATAGGGTCACATCGAGAATAAGTCAATTTGTATTAGTAGTAAAAATGAAGTCATCTTGATCAGCGAAACAGCTTGGCATTAAAAAGCACAAACAATACTTTGCTCTTTTTTTAGACAGTAGGCAATAGTAAAAGTACTTTAATGTTTAGCGAAAAAAAGTGGTATACAACTGTTGTGAAGGCTAAAAATTAATTAGGTAAAGTGTATAATTATAAAGCATTTATATATTTCTTCCTATTTTAATATCATTTTCAGAACAAAATCTCAATCACTCACTGTTTGCTTCAATCATGAAAAACATTAAGAACTTATTATTACAAATGGGCCATTTCTATATAAAAAAAACATATGAGGTAATATTATTAGTATCTAGATATTTTCGATTAACAATTGGCAGTTACAAGAAAACTGAAGAGTGTAATTAAATCATGTTAAATACCAACTCACAGAAACTAAATCGATGAACTTAAGCCGCCTGCCCATAAACATCAGCATACATCGAACAAAAACAGGCAATTGTAAGTTTTGTTTTGACAGCGTTTTTACTGTGTTTCTAAATATTTTTTGCGCCATTTTGTAGCATGCAGAAAATTCTTTAAACTATCTACTATTCAGAGTATAAACATTATCTAGTACACCCCTGGGCCAAGTTTAAATATTTCCCCAATTACGTTTTAGTTCTACAATTTTAAAAGTTGTTTGATTAAAGGTCGTTTTTCGATATCGTTTGAAGCGGTTTAACAAGAATTTTGGTTTGTTTGGTTGCGAGAACGGGTAGAGGGGAAAAGTGTGACACAAGAAGCAGTTATAGAGACCGATCGAAGGTCGAATGAATTCAAGTTTTAGGTTGGAAATGTTGGCGATAATGAGCAGACGTGTTTAATTTAGTCGGAAAAAGCCGGCAAAATTTGTTGAGAATTGTGAATTATACTCTATGTAATGTGTGAGTTTTAAAAGAGTAATCACTGTTTCCATATAAGTATCTAGGAACTTTGTGTCGTTTACAACAATTTTGAAAGATAGCGTAAAAAAAGTTGGACTGTTTTTCATACTCAGAAACTGGCTCTCTTATTCCTATTGAAGGTATGATGAACAGTGAAAAGTACAAAGCCATGCTAGGGCAACGCTTAGCTATAGAGCTTGACAAAGTACAGGCCGAAGGGACTGCAATTTTTCACCAAGGTTCAGCTCCGTGCCATGTATCGAAGGTCAAATACTTCAAGGATAATAATATTACCCTTCTTGATTGGCCTGGAAATTCACCTGACCTTAAACCTATTGAAAATTTGTGGGCAATATGTAAGACTAAACTGCAAAAATTTGACTGTACTACAAAAACCAAAATGATGGAAGCAGTGATAAAGGTGTGGTCGAGATGAAGCAATCACAAACAATTGCAAAAAAACTTGTGAATTCCATGCCTAGAAGACTCCAGGAAGTCATAAAAGTAAAAGGGGGACATATTAAATACTATCTAATGAAAAAATCTCATGTAAATGTACCTAAATTTTCCTTTGGCCTAAATAAACCATATTTACAAATTATTTCTGTTTGTTTGCATTAATTCGCACAATACTGTAAATCTGAACAGGTTATCCACTATAACAAAATTTATTTAAAAGAAAAACACTATACACTGATATAATTTACCATAATGGAGTGTCACATTATACTATAAAGATAAGGTTTAATTTCCAAAACTAAAATTTATAGTGTAGGTGGTCATATTTTGGTCATTTTATTACACTCTTCAATAATACTTAAAAATATACTTACATGATTAACCACGAGAAGAGTTCTCCTTGTAGAAGAACGGTACTAAACAGTTCTCATGTTGTGGAAGAAGTTGTAGTTCTAAAATTCTCGCATATATGCTGCTTTTAAAGTCTATTTTTAAACACATTTCATTACGAGATAGGTAAAAACACGAATGAAAAGACGGAAATCAAAATAAACAAGAAATGAATACAAAAGTAGCTTCTTATCTTTTGCAAACTATATAGTAATATACGAGTACTCAAGCTTATGACCAAACACACTCTGATTTGACAGAAACCTAAAAGTAAAAAACATACGAAAAATTCTAATATTTAAATATATATTAAATTATAATTAAAAGTAAACATAAATTTAATCCAGTGTAAGGCTAATTGCCCAAATATTAGTTTCCATTATTTAAGAAACGTGTTATACAGTATTTAAGAACTTTGGTTTGTGTCGAAGGACGAAATAGTTTCTCTACTAAAATTTTAGCGTTGTTGCTAAATATTCAATAGATATAGTCTAAAAAATAGCTGATAAGTGCCATTTTGTAGGATAATTTTAAATCAGATTATATGGCAAGTAATAAGTCAATTTCAAGCACGTTTAAGTCCTTTGTGGAAGAGGTATTCGGTAAAATATGGTTTTATTCTTTTGTACGTGTTAACTTCTATTTTAAAAGCTGAAAGTGATTCAAGGTCGTTTTGCGATATGTTTAAAACAAGAATTTTGGATCGTTTGATTACACGAAGCGGTGAAGAGCGTGAGATGCAAAAACTGGTGGCCCCGGCCGGCATGCTAGAGATCCTTCTTGTTGTGTTTTGTCCATTTGTCCAGAAGACTCATGTAAGTAATTCTTTTTGTTCCTTTTTTGTAGTGCCCCTATATAACCCCATTGCTTCTTTCACTTATCCACAATCCCAGCTCTCCAAATAAACCCCGAGTGCCGTTAGCATAAGTATCATTTATTTTCCTTGCCCTATCCCCACTCCCAATAATTTCTGTCCCAAAATTTCAACCCCCATAGTAATACCCTATGTGGTAGGCAAAATATTTCGTTACACTATTGGTTAACAATTTACACTGATTCTTTTAATTTGCTGTTCTTTCTTAGAGATCATCATCCATTTTGTTTTCTTAATGTTCAGTGAGAGTCCATATCTCTGATTCACTTCTGTGATTTGATGTTATTGATATATTCTCTGTTAATCCAGCTTCAACATCCTCCACTGCTTCTTGAAAGATTTCCTCTGAGTATATGATAAACAGCAAGGGTGATAGTATACATCCCTGTTGGATCCCACGTTTGATTTTGATATAATCGGATTCTCCTGCCTCTGTACAGATAAACGATGTTTGATCCACTAAATTTTGCTAATAATTCTTAGACCACAGGTGTTTATTCCAATATTTGTTAGTATCTCCATCAGCTTGTTGTGTTTTATTGTTTCGAACGCTTTGTGGTACTCTACACAATATATCTACATCGTTAAAATAGCAGTTGCATGCTAAAGAGAGCCTCTCTCGTACCCGCTGAATTCTGAAAACCAATCTGTGTATGGCTGATTTTTTCTTCGAATAGTCTATAGAACCTTTGCTGTATGATTTATGATGTGACTGTCTGCAACATTAACGATTAAGCCATTAAATCTCTCCGAAATGATGACAGAGTACACTAGTTCCTAGTGACGCAAAAATGTATTAACATAATTTTTAAGGTACGGAAAATATGTTAAAGCAATTATTTATTTAATAATAATACTTCTTCATGTACCATGTCCTTTCAGAACGTTGGCTACCATCATAGCTAATAGCATAATAATACTGTAATACAGTAAATTAATATTTGAAAGCTTTCATAACTGTATAGGTATCATAGAAAAAGATCTGAAATGAGCATTCAAATAATGTATTACTTGCCATATCATCTGATTCAAATTATTACCTGTTCGTCATTTTTTATGATTTTCAGTGAAACACAAAAACTAAGAACAGATACCTAAGTCCATTGACCTAGAAATGCATCAATTTAAGGTTTATGCTTCAAAACAATAAGACAATGTGGTGATACCGCACCCGTTTCCAAATAACTGAAATATTCTGCAAGTTAGTCTCACTCTATACAATTATAGTAATCACAACTCTTTATATGTGTACATTTAGTTATTGTACAAATAGAGATAGAACTTAAAAAAGAAATTTAACTAGTCATCGAAAATTTCCAACATGTTAATCTAAAAAAACTTGTCAAAATGGCCCAACATAAAAAGAGCTGCGCATTACTCACTTTCTGATATGCGACACACAGTGTCTAACGATTTAACAAGAGTGTTGAGCTTTTCATCGGCCTTCCTTTTCTTTCTCTTCTGTTTGTCCTTCTTTTTCCTGTTCTTACTGTGGCACTCCATCTTTGATGAGCCAGCATCATCTAAGTACTTCCTTTTTTTCAGATTTATGTCTTTATCTTCTTCAAAGTCAACTGTGTCCTCGTCATCACGTGGATCTATATTCAGTTGTTGTAGAAATATGACAGTGGGAGTATTCTTTTTGGCTTCTAATTTTCTTTTCTTCTTCAGTTTTTTTCGTTCTGCTTTTGAGAGATCATTTATGTTAAATTGCCCAACTTCAAAACTTCTGTGGTTGTCCGAATAGTCATTATTATTGTTATTGTTATTATTTTCAATGTCTTGTTCAATACCTACAAATTTAAACTTAAATTAGACACTTAATACTCATACGAATATAGTCCAGTTTATCAAGGTTTTCAGATTTCCTTGAAAACATACTGATTTACTTAAAATTTAAACTGTAGTTGTGTGATGCAAAAAATGTTCTATAGATTTGTTTTAAATGCATATTTTTTTTTTTTTAAATAGGGTCAATAATTGAAAATTAGGGATATAAAATATTTGAGCTAAATACAATCAAAGATGTCAATTCATTAAAATTAATGTCATAAAGGGTCATTAAATTAGCTTTTCCCAATTCTACATTAAAAAGGTGTGCTTTATAAGGGATGTAATCATCAAATTGACATTGAGGCATTAAAATCAACCTGAAGCATCAAAAAATCTTAATTTTAGACCTACAAATGTTTTTCCAGTTACTACATGCTTCATTTTCCACTTTTATTTGTTTATTGAAGTAAGGGTTAGTTTATATCTTTAGAAACAATATATGTAATGTGGAATATGTAAAAACAATGTAATTTGTACTTACCCTCATCTGATCCGCTGGCAATTGCCTCTAAATGTGGTTCGATGTTATCGCCTCTAACTGAACCATGTTCACTTTCAAAACTAGTATCAAGATCTACAGTATAAATTGGAGTTACAATAACAGTCTCACTAAAAGACACACTTTTGCGTTTTTTCTTCTTTTTCAGTCCGTTCGAGGATGTGCTTTCCATACTATCCTCCATTATCGGGATATATTTTTCTCTAGCTTCTTCTTTTTGTTTCTTTAATTTTTTTAATTTCTTTTCTGTTGAAGTCTTTTCTGATTCGTTGTCTGAGATAGAAACTTTTCTCATTTTTTTAAGTAATAATTTTTCTTGTTTTTGTATTCTAGATAATTTTCCCCCTATATAAAAGAGACAAAAATGTAGTTTATGACAAGCTAATTCAAATTAATTTCAGTAAAGTTACTCACCTAATTTAAGGCCATGACGAGCACCTTTGTGAGCAGTCCTGCCTCCACAAGCAGCAAACAACTCTTCATCAGTCAGTGATTGAAAATTACTTTTGATTTCTGGTAAATTTGGAACATCATGCATTTTTACATCATTTCCAGTCATTGTGGCAGTTTTGAGAAAGGAACCATATTCTAAGTTAGTATTCTTTTTAAAGGCTTTTACTGAATAGTTTTTAGTAGTAATTTCTACAGCATCTTTACATTTTACATTCATTTTTATGTCATTATTGTCATCCACTTGTACATTGACATTATCAGCTGCATTGTTGAACAATTTTTCCCACCAATTATTTGTGAATTGTTCTCCAACATTATGCCCAACTCCTGAATTGTCAAATTTAAGTTTGGGTTTAATTGCTGTTGATATTCCATCTTCATTTCTGCCCAATCCTTTACCTAAGAAATTATTAAAGAAACTATTAATGCGATTGAATGCTACAAATGTTAAACTTATATAAACGTAATATATAAATAAATAGAAAGTTAAATATGAACCTTGGAATACTAATATTTTACATCCGTTTGGCATTACTTTTATTAATCAAGTACAATTTTAAGTATATGATAATTTTCATAAAGGTTGATAATGCGATAAATGTCACATAATGCTGAAGGCTACAGTTATAGATGCCACTAGCAAATCTTACCCACGAAGGAGTGGGTGAAGGTAAATGTCCAGCGCCTTAAATCTGGACCATCTTGGCTAAGGTATGGTAACAGAAGTGTTCCTGGCCATCCAGGAACTACAGAATACAACAAACTAATAACCTGATAAAACGAGGTATTAAAGATGATTAACAGATAAAACAAACTACAGAGAATTATTAACATGAAACAGAAAATGATATGAGGATTTTAGAAGGCTAGAGATTTTTTGAGGCCTATTGGAAATATTGGAATATCTAAATTGTATGGACATTTTCTTATTATTGACTAATTGAGTCCATCTATAAGCCCCTTCAGCTTAAAATCTCAAGAAGGAGTAGACTTCATAGTTATGAGCCTGGAGAAGAATAAGTCCCAATTAGCAAACCAATAAATAGGGTAAATACTCCATAGTTTACAAAAATTGATACAGAAAAAACCAGAAAAAGAAACGATATTGGAGGTAGTATAAAAATTAGTTTTGTTACTAGTTTCAAAGTCTCATAAAATTGAAAACATGAACTTATACATTACCTTCCGACCAGCCATACTTTTCCAATTGCTTACGAGCAAAATCCATGTTAGAAAATATGTGTAACACTTTTTAATTTATTTATCATACTAAAAATATTGTAGTTGTAGTAAATAAAGTCATATGAGATTAAGACATGCTTCTGTCAATGTCAATCTTCTATCTTCTTCTTCTCATAATTCACAGTATATACTTTATACCACAAATAATACTGAAAGTGCAATAGAACACGTTAGGAGAATGAATTGCACAGCCCTGCCGTTCGTAATGGCGACGGCGCTACTAGTCACGTTAAGTCATAGTACAATAAATACAGGAGCGACTAAATATGTACTCCCGTACCGCGACGTTGCCATGTATTCTCTTCTTCATAGTTTTTATGGCCTCCTACAATGAAGTAGTCTAGTAAGGTGAGATCAAACTCACAGACAGACAGAACTCATCCCAGCAGCCCTAAGCCCCGTATTTATAGTCGGTACTCAAGATCGTGCTCGAGAACGTGCTTGGCCAAGTCGAACTTACGTCAAAGTCATGCTCAAGTATTTGTTGTGTTCTATAAACGATACTTCGGGTATTCTCGTACAAGTTTGATCTCAAGCAAGAAAAAATTAGTACGGTAAAAGTAAATTACGAATAATCATCGAAAAAAAGAAGATTCTGTCAATTTTCTCATAATTGTGACTAAACTTTTAGCGCCAAATTTAGTTTATGCTACTTACTGAAATTTTGTGTTTGATATTAATATTTTGTGTTTGAAATTAATACTGGATATTAACTATTTTAAGGTATGTAATATGTTATAAAAAATATTTATTCTACAAAATTAATTTCTATTTTTGTTACTGTGTCTGAGGCATAATTTTTGATGTTCAAAATACATGCTTATGTATATTTGTTTTTGGATATATTTATATGTATGTAATGCGTTACAATCATTATAATTATATTGCATGTGTAAGCCGTACGCTAAATAAATTGGTTATGTAAATTTTAGATGAGTGGAAATAGCAGTAAATATGCACCTTACTCAACAAAGGAAAAGGTTCTTCTAATTCAGCTGGTAACAGAAAACGCTGTGGTAGAAACGCGTGTGGAGAAAAATATGGCTTGGGAGTTCATAGCAACAAATTATAACTGCCAACCTGAGGTCAAAATCTTGCTGCCTGATTATACCATCAGGCAGCAAGACGAGATTCGGATGAAAATTAAGATTTTAGAAGAAGATATGCTGAAAGCAAAAGCCTTAAGAGAAGCAGCTGAGAAGGAGAGGCAGAGAGCTATTGATGAAGCTGAATTAGCTTCATTGAAGTTAATAGACTATAAAAAGGGTAATTATAGATTTTATCATGTTTGACTTGTCACTGGAATTTGTCTATAATTAATTGTTTATTTTCAGGTGCTAGAAGATCTTTTTCCTTTGTTGGATACTCTGCAGTTTTAGGGAAAATGTAGAAATAAGCCATAATATGTTTATTTATTGATATTTTTCAATCTATATGACCAGAGGCTGTTATCATAGATACAAAATTGTGATTTATTTTCTGAAAATAAATCACAATTTTGTATTTTTGGTAACAATATCTGGTCATAGAGATTAAAACATCAGTAACTATAACATACAAAACATTGTGGCTTATTCCCAACTGAAGATAGTGTTTGGGAAGTGTTAACTCAGTCTTTCAGTGGCCTTTTCACTTTAGGAGCACTGAATGTCAGAGTAGGGTCTGTTTTAGCAGGTAGGCATTTGACGTAGAATCAGCGAAGAGAGGATGTTTTAAAGTACCTCAGGAACTATCGCCTGAACTACGAAGAATGAATCCTGCACTAAGGTCAGTCAGGCGGCATCCTGGACTGAGATGTCTTAAGATTTCAGACCCTCCCCTCTCTATAAAGACAAAAAAAATATACTTTGTGTTGTAAAATCATGTTTATTTTCTTTCTATTCTCGTTCCTGTTTATTTTATTTCTAGATAGTATTTAATGTAGATTTAAGATTGTTAATATTTTAATTTCTGCTGGTAAGATATGGTTTTACCTTTTTATTTGTTGTATAGTCTTTTGTTTTTTGATTATGTATGTTTCTTTTTCAGTTTTTTTAAGTATTGATTGCAATACATAGTTCATAATATTTTTATGTTGTTTACAGAAAATTATTAAAAATTTTTAATAAATTGCTGCTACTTCGATATATATATATATATATATATATATATATATATATATATATATATATATATATATATATATATATATATATATTATATATATTTCATCCTCGAAAGAGCTTAAACTAGCATTCAAATGAAGCCATCGGTTAAAATTAAATGAACAATAGTATTCTTACTGTTTTTCTTGTATTTTTTTGTCTCATTTCTCTTGTTTAGTTTGTAATCTTTAATGTTAAGTTATTATAGAGTTTTTATAACATCCTTTAAAAAATCTACAAATTGTTTTTGTAAGTATGGCCCCTGGTGGTTGTTTACTTATATGCTAAAATCTTTTTTATTTGTAGTGAACTGATGATGCTTTTAAAAATAAAAGCGAAACGTATTCAAATAAATCAATAAAGTAGTTGACGACTTTTATTTGCCAATTATTGACTGATAAAACCTCTGATATTCAACCATTGAATATATTTTAAATATATATATATATATATATATATATATATATATATATATATATATATATATATATTACTTTATATTTTTGTAATGTTCTAATTGTTGTACAGTTTACTCGTGATAAAGCTATAAAATAAAATAATCTATTTTACATTGTATTTAATTATAACTATAATTTTTTAAATAAATATTCTAAATTTGTATTAATTTTTATTTGGTAAGGAAAGGTTTTATGAAAGGAATAAACACTTAATTAAAATGAGGGAAACTCCTTGTACTCAGAGAAGGAGCATAGTGAGTGAAAACCCTCATTTATTTTAAAATTAAAACAAACACATTTTTATAAATAAGACAAAAACATACTATATCTAATATAATATAGGTATTTAATTCTCAAAATCGACAACTTTGAATTAAACAAAGATAAGATATAAAATAAAAAAAAACAACAAAAAGTGTAATCAAGTAATGATAATCATTCTGACATTTTGAGAAATAAGGTAGAACATACATAATATAAGTATTCAATATTGTATTTACATTCCCATGCATAACATTGGTGAATAAAATGTCTCCTAAAATTTAAACCTCATTCCACATCATTAAAGTTTCTATTTACTACTTTCTAGAAAATCATCATCACTATCATTATTTTCCTGTAAACATATATTGCAAAGTACTGCTGTAGCACTTATTATGCAAGATGTGTATTTAATTTGGTTTGTAGGCCTCATTGCAGACAGGGAAACCATATTTTCCAGTATTGTTCTGAAGCTTCCAGAACGATTTCCGAATTGGAAATTGAAACGTCAATAAATGTATTTTTATCTTTAATGTGGCTTATTCCCAGTTATAAATAGTAATTCATATTTTCCAGGTTCCAAACATCCATTTACACATTACATGTGTACTATTATTATATCTATTTTGTTGATCATTGCCTAAAAAGATGTATTTATCAAATAATCTATTTTTTATTTGGCCAATTATCAATAAATACCTGGCTATAATACTGGAGTAAGTAGATTGTGTCTGCACTGCATACATATTCACTATTCATAATAATTCTGGAATTTGCCCTCTTTCCATTCTAACTTTTAATCAACTTTGATCAAATAATAAGCTACCAATACTTTATCCTGGATGTTGAACGACAATATTAATCTCAAAAAACAAAGAAAATATTGTATTGGAAATATTCATAAATATAAACAAACAAGTTAGGTTAGGATCCCGTACTCAAGGCAGGTCGATCGGATGCTTGAGTACGAGCTGTCATTTTTGCGTTCTCAAGCTCGACTTCGTGCTTGAGAACGGTTTATAGAACACAAATTTGATTCAAGGTCGATCTCAAGTATCGATCCATACTTGAGCATCGTTTATAAATATGGGCCTAAGAGCCCTAACCTTAATGTTAATTAGTGGTGGGCCAACCTGCGATTTTTGTGTAGCTGTGACAAAATGTGACTGCTCCAGTATTGTCACGGTGATAAAAAGCAGTGATTTTTTGGAGCAGTTTAATCTTAACTGCTACCCTGCTACTATCGCTACCTTTGTATATTCCAAAATATATTTATAATTATATCTATACTTTACTTTATTATAAATCTTTACTATAAAATATTATTATAAACTTTATTATAAAACTTTATAATAAAATATTAATTAAATAATTTTATATAAATAATTATATTTATAATTTTATTATAAAATATTATTTTAGGCAATATTTTTTTTACTGCTTTGTTTTTTGTACCATTGTTTTATTTTTATCTTTGTTTAGTGTGATTTTCCCTTTAAAAGTTTAAGAAATAAGTAGATATATTGATTTTATTCTATTCAATTCTTATGTTTTTTACCTTACGATAATTTAATATGACTTAGAAAATAACTTGTTAAGGATTTTTAACGCTGCTATTATCCCATGCTCGACCATGTCGTTCCTTATGTTACAAATAGCAAATAATAGTCACAGTCACCATATGAGAGTGACTGCTCCATTTTGAAAATGCTCCGTCGACAAGGCTTGTCACTGTCGCAAATACGATCTATGGACCAGTGCAACGTCTTGTGTAGCGTCATCGGTAGCATACAATGGACCGAAGTGATGCAGTCACAGTAGAATAAAACGTGACTGAATGTCACTGCTATATTATTTCTATTTCAGCTGAAGCGGACTGCGACTGTGACAACGTTGTAGCAGTGACAAAGTAGCAGTTCGTGAAATCGCAACCCACCACTAATGTTAATGTTAAATTCGCTTGTTTTTCTTCAAGCGTAATATTGTGTTATTGCTTTCTCATACAAACCAGAGTTTTTATAATTACTAGCTGGTATTGAAAATGGCATTAGTTTGTGAAATTTGCTGCAAACATTTTTCTACGCAGAGTTCCCTTAATAGGCACTTGAAAAATGTACACAAAA